ATTTTTCTCATATTAAAAACACTAATTGTGGTTTAGTTAATAGTACTGTACCGTTAATTTCTTAGTTTTGATAAATATACCATGGTTATGTTAACATTCAGGGAAGCTAGGTGAAAGGTATATGGGAAACCTGAACTATCTTTGCAACTCTTCTGTTAAATCTAAAATTACTCAAAATAAAGTTTAAAAAAACAAAACAAAGAACCAATGAATAAAATAAATGGTGTTCTCTTGACCCCACTTCCCTTTCCAGCTACTACCCCATCTTTTTCTTCCCTTCATAGTAAAATTCTTTAAAACTATTATCTTTACTCACTCATTATAATTTCTTTCCTCCCAGTTATTCCTAAATCTACTCCAATGTTTTCACTCCTACCATCCATCTCATTAAAATCACCAATGACCTTCCAGTTGCCAAATCAGTGGTTACTAGAACTCACCTTCCTGTCACATCGGCAGCATGACACACTAACCAGTCCATTCCCCTTGAAACGCTTCCTTCAGTGGCTTCCTAACACTACACGCATTCCCTTTTCCTATTTATTACAGCACTTTTTTCACCTCTTAAGGGCCCCAAACCTCATCCACCCCCATGACATACTGTGGGCCACTGAGACAGCAGGGGCAAGCTGAGACAAGGTGAACATCAAAAAATTGACTGCAGTGGATGAAAGCCAAATGGATAAATGTGTAAATCATGAGTTTATAATGACACTTTAAAAAATCTCCCTGGTCATCTTTGGAGGTTGCTAAGGCACCAACTCATAATATGCTAATTGATAAATAAAAGCAAAGAAATCAAGCATTGATCCTGCCTTTCCTTAACAGACTTGTTTCAGGGTAATCAAGGCTGATGAGGGAAAGTTTGTTATAGAAGATTCACAAGTAATAAAAGCAGGAAGAATAAAAGAAGTGGATGCTTAATGAAGTAATGGATACAGGCAATGGTCAATGGCTGCTAAGACAATTAGGTGAAAGGTCGATGCTGAACTTTACTTTGGATGGATCAGGCTGACAAAAGCTGAAACCAATGATCCATCTCAATAGCATTAAAAGTGGGACAGACATTATGTGCCTCATGTGATGCAAGAGGAAGTACACACCATATTTAATGTAGTCTTGCAAAAAAATCTTGAATCTGAATCTAAATAAACTGTAGATCTAATTTATATGAAATACAGAGGATATAGGATCATGTTAAATGACACCCTGAGGATACAATAGGCAAGGTTTGAAATGTGGGAAAGTCTACAGGACAAATGAGCCAGTTTCTTCAACAAATGAATTGCAGGGAAAAAAGTGTCCATGTATGTATGTGTGTGAAGTGGGAGGAGGGTGCCATTGATTAAAAGAAACTTAAAAGACACATCAACCTAATGCAATGTGTGGACTTTTGAGACCATGGGGAAACATAACATGGAAGGGTCTTAGATGAAATTAAGGAATCATTGTTACTTACGTTCAGTATGATGATGACATTGTGGTGATGTATCTGTTAGAGATATACACTGAAGAATTTATAGGTGACATAATGTATCTAGGATTTGCTTTAAAATACAGCAGCAGCAACAACAACACACAGAAGTTGAGGGCAGACAAAAAGAAACAGCAGAATGTTGATAGTCATTGAAGATGGGTAACGGATGCATGGGAATTCATTTTACCATCTCCTCTACCTTGGTGTATGTTTAGAATTTTTCATAATAAAGCTTTTTTTTTTTTTAAAGTAGGGGCTACTGACAAGAACCAGTAGCCCCATGGGAACATTCTTATTTCAGGGCTCCAAGTCCACCTGCAGACAGGCTGTTGGTGATGAAGTGTTCTCTGCCTTGTAGAAAGCCCCTACGATGGTAAACTATTTGTGGAAGGCCAGGTGTTTGCTCCATTTTCTGATAAGCACGGGTGCATATACTAACTAACACTTAACATCTCAGAAAGACTCATATATCAGAATAACCTAGTATCCTGAGTAGTCTGTGAAAGGGTCTCATGTCACAAGAAGAAACATTTTCACAAACCCATAGGGCAAAAATGATCCTTAAGAAGTCCTTTAACCCAGCTCATCAGCTCTGGTCAGGCCCTTTCACCCACATATGAAATATTTATGAAGTACCTTTTATGTGCCAAGCAGTGCTGAACAAGACAGGACCCTACCCACATGAAGGTTATAAGTCAGCAGACTAAATTTAAGCCATCGAGCCTCTTGAAATCCTTTCTGAACAAAACAAGGAATAGAAAATTAATAATGACAACACAGTGTTCTGCTAAGCATTTTATATGTATGATCACATTTAATCCCCTTAGCAGCCCTAATAGGCAGGTTGTAGTATTATCTATCTCCTTTTTACATGTAGCTGCAAGTGTGTAATTTTAAAGGAGGCATAAAGCAATTAAGTGATTTGCTCAAGGCCATCTACCTGCTAAGTGGTATAGCTGAGATTTGAACCGAGGTGGTCCGGCTCAAGGGCTCTCTCAGCCCTCACTCTCAAGCTACCACACTATAAATTCCAAGCCACCCTAGTTGGACTTAGCTCAGTCTGAGCACCAAAGAGATCTAGACTTGCCTGGCAGTCTTAGCCAGCTGACCAGAAAATGCTGTTCAGCACTTGGCACGAGAATGACAGAGCTGCCAGGAATAACACTCCAGGCCAAGGTCACAACCTGGCCCATCTCAGCAGTTCACAGATGGTGACAGTGAGTCGGCAGCAGGGGGGCAGCCAGCGCTGAGATCTCCAGGACAGCCGTGGTGCTGGTCAGAGGCAGAGGGCAACACTCCCTATGCTCCCATCCCAAGCTGCACTGAAGATACTTACCCTGCACCTCCACTCCCCACACGGAGAGGCCTGGCCTGGGTACTTCCTCTGTACCATTGGTATCCCCTGTCAGCTGCCTTCGCCAGTTGGCACAAGAGGCCCTTGATGATCCCACATTCCTGAATCTCATTGTGCTTTGCTCCTACACCTCTTGAATACTCAGCCCTAAAGCCTAGCCCTCGGCCCGGACACTTAGGGGCCAAATGGTAAGTCAGGGCTCCTGTAGCATGCCAGAGCTTCTCACATTCCTGTCACCTCTGAAATGCTAATGGTCATTTCCTCGAATGAACTTTCACATTCCCATCAGGTCAACGGCCCCTCCTGCTGAGTCCAAATCTGGGATCAAAGTAGTTGACAAATGACCTCTGCTTAAAACTTGACAAAACTCAAAACAGGGCAGAGGCTCCAGTGGTGATGCCACCCATCTTCAGTTCCCATGAATAAATTACGTTTGAGCCCAGAAGTCCCTGGGAGGCCTGCAGCAACAGAGGTAAGAAAGGGCAACCTATTTTCTCCACAACCTCGCCAGCATTTATCGTTCAGAGTCTTTTGGATTTTAGCCATCCTAACTGGGGTGAGATGGTATCTCAGTGTAGTTTTGATTTGCATTTCCCGGATGCTGAGAATGGTATGGAGGTTCCTCAAACAGTTGCAGATAGATCTACCATATGACCCAGCTATCCCACTGCTGGGAAT